GCACACTGAGCAGTGACTTCAACAGTCGACTATCATTAGAAGAGTGGCATTTCATTTTTCCCCCTACTTAGCCTGACTGGGATACAGCCCGGACTCATCACTTTTGTAACCCGTATTTTAAGAGTGTCCACTGGTAGCCACCAACCCAGCCCAATACACCACCACCACGGGAGCTGGGTGTGAGTTCACCATAAGGGAGAACACCTGTAGCATATTTTAGCAAAGCAAAGAGGGGTCACGTCACTGCAACCCACAGCAGACCTGTGACTATATGACACTCCGTGGCTGAACTCTCACAAAGCCCATGGATTTTAAGACATTATTCTCCTGAAGGTAAATATGGACTCTTTGCTTAGTTAAGTGCTGGCAAATATAAGAGTTAAATATATAACTGCTAGTGTGCAGTTTTAGAGAAAGTGAATTTATAGAAGCTTCTGATTCCCAGAGAGTTTTGAACTATGAATGTATCCAGTTGCATATTCTTTCAAGGTAAGAGAGGAACTGGGGAGGGGTGTGTGTGTGCTTGTTTGTTGTCTGTCTTTTGGTTTGAGCCTCACTGTCTCCATGGTGTCATTTAAGAAACCATCAATATCTGATTGCTACTGCCTTGCCTGTAATGCTTGCAAGAGAGAATGTGGGTTTAGTGAAGCTTTGATTATTTGGAAATTCTCCAAGGGGAGGGAGCACCTTGAATTAGAAATTTAGGGCTCTGCAGAGATGCTGTGGAATAGTGAAGTTAAAGGTTCTACATTTTAACTCAAGAGCAAGCAGTTCAGTATTTCCTTCAGAACAACAGGTTGTGTGCCTGGTGGAAAGCCAGAGACAAAAGTCAGTGCCCCAGATGCCAAGCTATCTGAAGGACAACCTTGTGCTATTTAGGGTTCCACCCACTCCGGTAAGATTTTCCTGCTAAGGCTTGGCCTTCCACTGCCCCATCTGCAAGACCTCTGCTGCCGTACCAGACCTGTAGTCCTGCATTACAGAGGGTGCAATGAGGAGGTAGAGGTGTAGGATAGGAGATGGGGCATACACTGGTACTGGAGACCTCAAGGCTATAAACAACTCGGCCAATTTTCCGACAAAGAAACGCAGAACTGCAGCTGGCAAAACTGATGTTAGGGGTAACAAAAGAGTACAAAGAACAAGCATCCAACATATTTAAGCCATGCCACGTGTAGTAAATTGGGATGTAATGTGAAAAGACAGACCAAAAGAGAAAGAGCAAGGTGTAAAAGTGCATTAGCAAACATAAAAATGGACCCAAGTGGTTCCTAGAGGGAGGAAGAACCATCATCAACATCATACTGCTCCTGACAAAGGATTTGGGATGTGCTGCAGTCATAAATAGCTCATATTATACAGAATAACTACTTGTTACTACTAGACATAGATACAAAAATCACACAGAGTTGTACCATACAAAGATACGTGAAAGTAAAACTAGTTATGCATAGCCTAATTTCTAAGGTCATTAGAAAAACTGCTGCTACAGTTAACCCAAATAAATCCAAAGTTCCAGGCAGGTCAAGACAAGTACAGACAAAGCATGTTTGACAAGCCCCAGTCCTGAGTCCTTGCAAACTCAGTACAAATCTCTGGCTTGCTAGTAGCAATGACAATACTGTATTTAGTGGGCTATGGTTCTACAGGTTCCTCTCTTCATGCATTCGAAGCCATGGAAAACTAGTCACAGGGACGTTTAACAGAAGTGCTCCCCCCTGGGGGTGCCCCAGCAGGTTTGGGCCTGGTGGTTAAGGGGTAGCCAGCTTGTGGATTTTGGAGAGGACCAGCATGGCTTCCATGCGCAGGCTATATCATATGACCAATAAAAAATTGTGCTGGCACCATGGGCCCTGGGTAATCTTCATCCTCACAAGCAAACCAGGAGCTGGAAGCAATGGCAGCATGTCCTGCAGAAGAGTGATGGGCAACCTGAAGAACTGTTATCTCACGCCCCTCACAGCCTTCTTTCAGTTCTCTACAACATGGGATACGTATCTTGTGGCTCTTGGCCAGAACGAATATTTGGTACATGTCCCATCAGTTCAGAGAAGTTACTGTGCTACCCCATGCTCTTTTGGTTTGTCCTGCACGATGTAACATACAGGAGGTTTTCACTGTTTATTTCTCTCCTTACAAGCTCTTTAGGTATTTACATCCTTGCTGAGCTCTTGGGAGTAGAGATCATCTTTTCTCATGCTTGGACAATTCCTAGCTCAATACAGGAAAATCTTTTTAAACATTAATAACATTAATTATTATCAATAGCAAAATCCTATGGCTTAGTAAAGGCTCTTAACTTGCAGCTTAAGAAAATAACAGGAGGAAAAAGAAAAATATATTTTTTTAAAAAAATAAACCCCAAATCAAACCTTTTCAGCAGCTGTGCTGATTATGGTCCCGATTTTAAGACTCTAAGCCAAACAGAGTTTGACCACTTGGGTCAAACTCTATGTTTACAGGTCTAAATTACAAGCTAAAGAGGGATCTTTCTCCATTAGCCATCCAAGGAAATAAGAGTATAAGGACTTATTAGTCAAGATATGTGAACTGAAGTTGGGGGGTTTTATTATTCTAATTAGGAACAGGAAAATTCCTATTCCATTTTGTAATTAAAACAATACACATTCTACTGTCTAATTATATTTGACATTTTCAAGGTGTTGGGAGCTGAAGTCTATAATTACAGAACTGCTGCCTTAAGCAGAACACTCCATAAATATTCATGTATTAAATAGCCAGTTATATCGTTTAGAAGATTTTAGAAACGTTTGGTTTTTTTTTTTTTAGAAACATTAGACTTTCAGAAGGCACGTTTTATATTTGTATTTTAAAAAAGATAGGAAGAAAAATGTCCCGTGGGATCTGACATACTGTAGATAGCAAATTGACTATAAACCTATTCATTAGTATTGTAAGCAGTTATGCTGGAGATTCATAGTCCTTTAGAATTATTTCTTTTCTTTTAGCAGAATGGGTAATTACAGTCAAAAATAATATGGGAGTCCTGTAGTGAAGTCATAAGACAGTAAAATGCAATTCCTACAATTCCTTGATTTTGTAATTAACAATAAAATTATAGCTTACATACAGTTTAAAAAAAAAAAAGTTATCCACATAGTTTGGTGTCTTGCAAAAAAAAAATCACTTCATATATCACCTATTTTGGTAGTTCGATGTTGGCATTTAAAACAGTTGCCTGCCTAAGAATACCATAATCAAAGTCGAGGTAGACTTGTGGGTAATGCAGAGCCTGTTGTTCAAGGAGAGGCTTTCCTTTTCTTGACATTAGAGAAATGGAAAAATACGCAGTGAAGATGAAACACCAAGTGCGAGGTGTTCCATGAGTCTACCTGCTCTGTGTTTCCATTCTAGGAAGTGAACCTTTGGGGACATCTAGGGAAAAGGGAATAATTTCTGAAAAGAAGGGCAGTAGGCTCTTTGCCTATTTTGTCCATTTAGCTCGTTGGAATAGGTTTGGGTCTTGTTATAAGATGCTTTGCCCCATGGGACCTGGACCCTGGCTAAGTCGCTGGGTATGACTTTCAAACAGTAATAAAAGACACTGCAAATGTTTCAAGATTTAAATGCTGTGCAGAAGTGAAGTTGCAATATGTGTGGGTTCAAATGCTGTGCAAGATTTCAGTGTCCCAGCAAGAGCAGCGGAGACACAGTGCAAGCTCCCTGCACAGCAGGGCAGCGTGCCCTGTGCCAGCCTTCTACTCAGAAGGCCCCTTCTCCCAAACAGCTCTATAGTCTGCCTGTGGGCAGGTGTGGAGAGAAGGGCACCCAGTTCCACAACGACCTTGATTATTCACAGAGTATGAAGGCGTTAGGGAAGTCCTGTTTCATCCCTGCACATCTGTGCGGTGGCTAGAAACAGTCTCGCCCATGTCGACTCGTGCACGCTTGCGTTACAGTCAGTCGGGGGGACTGCACCCAGCCAAAAGTGAGAAGCAGTTGTACATACCGCATCCAGCTACAGAACTGGACTTCTCCTGTGGTGGGCTGGGAGCAGGACCTAATTCAGTTGAATTGTGTATAATTAGTCCATACGTATTATATGTCAGAGTATATAACTGTTATGTATTCACAGATTATGTATTCCGTATTGTCTGTGTTTTATGCTGTACATAATACGTAAGTGTAATATAGTATGTGAGTGCAAATGTATGTATATGTTTGGGTTATATATACACCCATACGCCACTTACTGAAACACACTTACTAAATGCCTGGTGCTATTTTTGTAATGCTCATAGCACTTAGGGATGCCAGTGCCCATTCCCTCCCTTTCTGCACAATCACAGCCCCTGTTCTGGGTGACGTTACACTGCAATCGACTTGAACACGGATAACCAGACAGGCAAAATTCCTCTGTTCCCCACCTTCTGCAGATTTTGCTCAGAATGCCTTGAAAATACAACTCACCCTCTTCCAATCTGTCCCTCAGCACCTCAAAGATAAGCTGTTCTTTTCAAACAAAAACTAAGTCGTATTAAAAATGTTTCAGTGAAATTTTGCTAGAACCCTCCTTCTTTAACCACCCAGAATTACATTTTGTGCACAAAAAGTCTGCATTTTACAAGCCCGATGTTTAAAAATCTGAAAATGGCCAGTTAATGCAAGAAACCGTTGCCCCTCTGCCATGTATAGCAGGTTTTCCTCATCATTTTTCCAATATAGTATTTATCCACTTTTACCATTGCTTTTTTATTCCACTGTAGAATGGGATGAATTACATTGATTTCAATCAATTGATTATTATTGCAAATGTGCACTGAACATTGCAAGAATAATATAATCTAAGTATGCCCGAAATTATGTTAGGATAATCCTGATTTCTCATAATGTGAGGTGCTCGATGTAGAAGAGGGGGGTGTGGGGGGTGTCTCAAGAGATGTGATACAGCCTTATCAGATTTTTATGGTTTTATCTAAGTCAATCTATTCAGTAGTTGCAAGCTTTTACTTTTCAGCTGCAGCTAACAGTGAGGAAAAGTTAATGCAATAGCCATCTTAAAAAGAAAAACAAGACAAGGAAGCAGATAGGCAGTGGACATGGTCTTACCCATAGGTACCTTGGTTGCAGTAGAGACATGGGAGGAGTCATCGCATCTCAGTGGGGGAGCAGGCAGTTGTCCTAATGTTGCCTTGTTCAGCGAGGACTCTGCAAAATAACAAACAAAAACTGGTTTTGAGCATTTTCTGAGAGCATACAGAGAATACCCACATGGTGCTGGATGCCTCTGAGTGCCCCGTTGCCCACCCTGGGGGCAGGGCTGCCCTCTCTCTTCACTTAATGCTGTTTTGCTACTTCTTCTCTTGAACGACTTCCACAGAGGCTTACTGGCTGAATCTGCGCTTTCAGGAGCTGGTGGCAAGCTAGGGTGAATTTATCCCCAGAGGGACCAACTTTGCTCTTAATGAATTACTGGAAGTAATTGTGAAGGGTAAAATCACTAAATAGCTGGAGGATAAAAGAATTGTGAACCATAGTCACAGTGGTTCAAAACAGACTGAGTCTTGCCAAAGGGAATTGCTTATTTGATAGAATTACAAAATAAATGTGTGAAGGCAGAACGCTATATTATCATGTATTTAGATTCTGGGGAAGCACTGGATACTGTTTTGCATTAACTGTTACTTTGAAAGTTAATGCAAACTGGCTTTGATATAAACAGTGTCATATACATGACAGAGAGTTGCTAAAGGACCAAAAAAGGTGCTGATGAACAGCAGAACGCTGAGGCCCCACATGGGAGACTGCAGTCCTGGTAATTCCTTTTCAAAAAAAAAAAAAAAAAATCAAAGGTTGCTTATTAATGTTTCATAGATGAAAAGGCTGAATTATGTGGGCTGAAGATTGGATTGGGTGTTTTGACTAGCTTGGTAGACAACAGGGTTATTTGATATCAACTGAATAGTATCATATCTCTAGAGAATTAATTATTTAAAGATGGTAAAATGGATCTGACAGGGAGCAGTGAGATGTAAATAGCGAACATCACAGAGATTTATTAACAAACTACGCTGTCTTTGCAAAAGCCTTGCTATTCCATTTCCAAACAGTAATTTGTTGCTTTCTTCTCTCCTAGTTGCCCATATTGGCATCTTCTGTCGTTAGCCTCTATTTTCTTGAACTTACCGATGTCTTCAAGCCAGTTCACTCTGGATTTAATTGCTATGACAAGAGTCTGAGTATGCCATACATTGAACCTACACAAGAGTCTGTTCCCTTCTTGATGTTGCTTAGTCTGGTTTTTGCTGGCCCATCAATTACGGTAAGTTTGAGGCGCCACTGTCACTTATTAAAGATTTTGAACTGAGTTTCAGTTGGCATAAAGAAAACAGCTCCTTTGGTTAGGCTCCTTCTAGTTAGGCTGCAGAGTGTCATCAAACCTGAGGATTTTAGATTCATCTTTTATTCTTCTATAGCAGAAGGGGACACACTCCTTAAAGCATTCCCTGTAGCACTTCATCTACTCACACTATCCCGATTGTGGGCATCAATGTTAAGAAACAGCATCTACAGTTTGGTGAGAATAGCTTGAATCGTTCCATTATGCTGTGCAAACATTTGAACTTCTATAGACAGGATATCTCCGTTCTCTGAGATACACCAAGAATTCAAGATTTTGTTGGAAATGGAAGCCTTTCATTTACAGCCCTGGCCATGCCACTTTTGTAAGAATTAGCTTTATTCAGGGAGAAGGTGTATCAGCTGTGTCAGCGAAATCAATTACACTTTCCCAAATAGCACTGGGACTCCTCAAAATTGGGAGTTAGTCATTAAGAGCAGGCAAAAGGAGGCTGGTTTAATCACTCACCCAAAGGGAGGAGGTGATTTCAGCAGAACAGAAATACCCTGCCAGAATATGAGCAGGTTGGTTACTGCTTTACAGAAAAAAAATATAAATTGCCTGATACGGGTGAGTACTGTCCCTGCTGGAATTGCTGTGTCAAATTAAAATGAAATCTAAAGACTTTACCTTTATATATATATACACTAGAGAGAACTCATCGTGCGTAATTTTAGGCAGCTCAGATAGGAGCCTTATTCTCGCAGCACTCCTGTTTGGCAAACGGAGAGAGAAATTCACCTTGAGTGGGTGAATCCACGCACCTAAAAAGCTGAATCAGCCTTCTGGAAGGGTCTCTCCTCTCCCCGGCAGCAATCGCTGCGTGTCTCGGTCAGGCACTTCTCTAAGGCCAGCTGCAAACGCATCTCTGCTCCTCTGCATTCCCTTAAATTCAACCCGTTCATTCCTTTTATGCTACTAGCCAATTTGCAATTACAAAATCTGTAAAATGCAATGCCCATATAAAAATCATCAAGTGCTGTTCTTTGCTTTGCAGAATGTTTTTTGTTTATTTGTCTCTTTTTAAACTGAACTCTTCCTACTGTGTTTGATTTTGGTTGCTTTAGAAACCATTTCTGAAGGATTTTGCACAAGCATCAGGCTAAAAATTGTACTCGTGTAGGAACGGGGAGCTAGGACTCTCAGTGTTCCTGTTACAGATGCTTGCAGCCAACACCGAATACTGTGATAAGACTTGTTGGTATTGCAGTTTGGCTGGGTTTCTTAAGTTTAGACAAAGTTTCTGATAACAAAAAAGTGGACTTTCCTAAAACAACCGTAGAAGGGGGCCTATATAGGCTCACTTGGGCCACAGTAGAGGGATAAAAGCTGATTTTTTACTTCAGAGAGTTTGTGTCAAGCCTAGGTAATATCAAGCACCTTTAACTGAGATGAAAGGTGCCCGTTTCATTACAGAGTGTTTATTAAGGGCTTTGAATACAGCTAAATTATTTCAGCACTGCATGAAATTTTGAAATAGAAAATGTTATTCTTGCTTGAATCATTCTCCTACCAGCAGTGCCGACAACTAACCAAACCCATGCTGTGTGAGGAACTCAGGCCCACACCTGAGCATGCCTATCAACCATACGATCCATAAGGGAAGTAAATCCTGAATCTTCAAAGTACAACTGCTTCAGAGCTTCAAGCCTTTGGAAGGTGTAGGTCATTTGTATTAATGTGAACATGAATGTGATGCTTGTATTAGTTGGAGAATGGACTCTGATACTGCAAAATACACAACTTCCTTCAATAAAAGGCACTGAAGATGGTGTAGATCATCAGCTCTTCATTATTCAGTACCACTTCTGAAGGAAAAAACTAGGGTGGTTTGGTTTTGTCCAATTCTTCCCTTTCTCTTTGGAAAAATAGGCCAATGAAGCTCAATGCAAAAAAGATTATGATTGTAGCACTGTCATCTTGTAGAGTTTAGCATTTTATGATATAGTTTTCATTAACATTTTGATGACTTACAGACTTTATAAAGCCTGTAAAATACAGACAAGCAAGCATGAGCCATGTGAGGAGCTCCAGTAACACAGTATATGTTAGTCTCTGTCTGCTGTTCAGGTACTTATGACAGGGTGAGGCAGAGGGTCATCAAGACTCAATAAAATGCAGGTGTGATTAAGCCACATCTTACATATTACCAAAGAGTGTAAAAAAGAAAAAAAAATTAAAAAAAGAGGGGGAAGTGGGAGAAGACAAGCAAATTCCAGTCTTAATCCTTCCTTAAAGCCTTATGTAAATATTAGAATAGGACTTCATTATTTTCCTATATTTTTTTTGTTTATAGGCTCATTTTTTCCCAAGACTGGAGAACATATTAAATTGATTCACTTTATAGTAAAATTTTTTACAAAAAATCTAGCATTTTATAATTTATTTTCCCAAGCCATTATTACAGAAGGATCTGTGTGGATTTGGGGCTTTATGTTTTTTCCCTTTGGGTTTTTTTGCTCATTGTTAGTGCTTTTAACCAGGTCTGTTCTGTAGCCCTGAAGTGCTACAGAAAATTACTACCTGTATTATTGACGTCTGTCTTATAGCTTGTGGCATATATGAAATTTTCTATATGTATTCATAAACCACAGGAGACTTCAGTGTGGAACAACTGGACTTGTACGAAATTACCAACATGGATATTTTTTTGTCTGGAATATAAATATACCTGAGTTGCGACATGACTTCCATTTGTTTTAAAGAACTCTGAATCGGATCCTCTGACATGTTTTCTCTCTAGTTATTAATTCAAAAATGTTAGGGCCGGTTATTTAATCGTATCAGCGTAGGTTCAAACCCTTATCAGCCACTGACTAAAAACCTACTTAAAGGTAACAATGTGCGTTCTAACAGATCACCAGGCAATTAGATCACATTGATTTGGGAAATCAATTAGCAAGGAAAGAAATTCACTGCTGGCAGTTTCAGTCCTCCTGCCTTCTCTGCTGTGGGAGTTTGTTTCCTTGGAAATACCAGCCGCTGAATTTTCCTTGACATAGGCCTTGCTGTTTCCCAATTTTCTCCTCTATCACACAAGGTAATCCATCCCTCTGGTGTTTCTCACTGTACCAGACATTCCCTACAGCTTGGCTAAAAACTATATGAGTTTCTCTGTTTTTTAAGTTGGAAATACTTTCTCTGGGAAGTTTCAGCTGTAAATAGATCAAATGGAGACAGATAACAGTGACCATAGTTCTCATATAAATAGAATTCTTTTAATAACCCTTACCACTGACTTTTCTATGTAATGAGACAACCTTCACTACTTCAGTTTTTTTCTGGCAAAGAAAGGTAATTTATTAAACCTTTAGTTAAAAAAGAGTTAGACTAAGCTTGTCCATTGTACCTCCCTTCTCCTAGGATGAGAGGTCTTACCATGGACAAACTTCACTGGTAATTACAGCAGATTCAGCATAATTCAGACACTTCAGCATCTCATTGCATCGTAAGCTTTGTGCATTGCATATATTAGTTTTCAGTGCATCTGCGGATAGACAAGGTGAATCTCCACTTGGTGGTGAGAACTGCCTCTTAATTTCAATATTTCTACCCAGCCCTTATTCTGAACTCTGTACAAGCCCTGTACAGATTTCCAAGTTGTTGCCCTGTTTAACAAGGAAAACAATCAAACCCGAGACTGCAAATGTGTAAATGGATCCGGATTTTCCAGCAAGTAACGCTATTTTTCATTTATATTCTTCCCTTTATTTCTATTGTGAACTCTTCAGTCATAATCTGTTTTGCTTGGTGTGTTCAGAGGGACCATAAGGACAGAACTTTCTCTGCTGCTGTGGATCTGGTTAAA